GAGATGGTATTTCACATCCTTTTTATGTTCCATTAAAAAACAAAAAGTTTCTTAAATGATTAATGCTTCAATTTTATTGCACTTTAATTCATTTATTGCTATATTTTATGATGCATTTATAATTTCCTTATATATTTATTTAATTTAGTCTGTAAAATAAAAATAATCTGCTAAATCACTCCACAAAATCCATTACTATCAAATTTGAGAATGAATCAGTGCTGTATTTCTTCGGCTCTGAAACCGTAAGGGGTTTTAAACCCCAGTCTTTAGCGTGACTGCTATACATTTATGCTAAATGCAACTAAAAATGAATGGAATATAATGTAGAAGGATACGCTTGAAAAATACTAGAATATAAAAATAGTCAAATTGGAAAACTGATATTCAACAGTCGTATTTCAGTTCAAAAGCGTGTGTATTTACTGTAAAAGCTGCGCTATTCTCATGGCATGTGTCACGCTGCACTGGCGGGTGTGTGTGTGTGTGTGTGTGTGTGTGTGTGTGTGTGTGTTTCTGCTTTTAGCTCCAGCGGATCTCCTACACTTTTCTTCATAGATGACGATGAAGCACAACATAATGAATGTGTTCTTGAAATTACCTGGACGTTCCCTATGAACCGACGATTGGCTCGCGATCAGAAGCCACTTCACTCTAGATCTGAGTGTGTGTGTGTGTGTGTGTGTGTCGTCTATTTCTGTGCCTATAACGCCTCAAACTGACCACAGAGTGGGTTTAAAATGTGTGTTTTATCTAGAAGCTTTGTGGATACAGACTGATGATGTCTTTATTTAACACATACATACATGCACACACTCACACACACACACACACACACACACGCTCTCGGTCTCTCTCTGTCTCTAACACACACACACACACACACACACACACACACACACACACACACTCTCTCTCTTTATTACACACACACACACACACAGACACGTTTCAGGCTCAGTTTGGTCTGTATAATGAGTCTCTCTTTCTTACACACACACGCACACAAACTCACACACACAAACTCGCACAGGCACACGCACACACACACAGGTAGTATGACCGAGGCTCAGTTTGATCTGTATAATTAGTCTCTCTCACACACACACACACACACACACACACACACACACACACACACACACACACACGTTTCAGGCTCAGTTTGATCTGTATAATGAATCTCTCCCACACACACACACACACACACACTCTCTCTCTCTTTATCACGCGCACACACACACACACTCTCACTCACACACACACACACACGTTTCAGGCTCAGTTTGATCTGTATAATTAGTCTCTCTCTCTCTCTCTCACACACACACACTCTCTCTCTTTATCACGCGCACACACACACACACACACACACACACACTCTCACTCACACACACACACACACACGTTTCAGGCTCAGTTTGATCTGTATAATGAATCTCTCTCACACACACACACACACACACACACACACTCTCTCTCTTTATCACGCGCACAGACACACACACACTCTCACTCACACACACACACCCTCTCTCTCTCTTTATCACGCACACACACACACACACACACACACACTCTCACTCACACACACACACACACACACACGTTTCAGGCTCAGTTTGATCTGTATAATTAGTCTCTCTCTCTCTCTCACACACACACACACACACTCTCTCTCTCTTTATCACGTGCACACACACACACACACTCTCACTCACACACACACACACACACGTTTCAGGCTCAGTTTGATCTGTATAATGAATCTCTCTCTCACACACACACTCTCTCTCTTTATCACGTGCACACACACACACACACACACACTCTCACTCACACACACACACACACACACACACGTTTCAGGCTCAGTTTCATCTGTATGATTAGTCTCTCTCTCACACACACACACATACTCTCTCTCTCTTTATCACGTGCACACACACACACTCTCACTCACACACACACACGTTTCAGGCTCAGTTTGATCTGTATAATGAATCTCTCTCTCACACACACACTCTCTCTCTTTATCACGTGCACACACACACACACACACACTCTCACTCACACACACACACACACGTTTCAGGCTCAGTTTGATCTGTATGATTAGTCTCTCTCTCTCACACACACACACACACACACTCTCACTCACACACACGTTTCAGGCTCAGTTTGATCTGTATAATTAGTCTCTCACACACACACACACACTAACTCATTCGCTCTCTCCCTCACATTCATTCACACACACACACACACACACACACACACACACACACACGTTTCAGGCTCTGTTGGATCTGATTTCTGAAGTGTCTCGTCTCTGGTTCTCAGGGTCAGGATGAAGTTGAAGGTTCTGGTAGTTTTGCTGCTAAACTCTGGACCTATCGGGTTCTGCTGGAGCTCATCCACTGGACAGAGTCCGCCTCGCAAACACTGCACGTGTTCCACACGGAGACACAACAACAGCAGCAGCAGCAGCAGCAGATCCTCTAGACACACACACACACACCATCCTCAGCTCCAGACCCAACACTGCAAACCAGTTCTCTAGTTCAGACCCAAACCCACCCAGTGTGATCGCTCGAGCATCTCCCATGAGCAATCAGACATCAGTTCAGACACTCTAAACACCCTTTAAAATCACATTTGCTGGTTTGCAGAGGATATGCTTTGAATCGGGTTTAATTTTTACTAGCGCTGGGCAACGATTAATCCATCCAGAATAAAAGTGTGTTTACACACAATATATGTGTGTGTGTGTACGATTTATGACTATTTTGTACATATAAATACACATGCATGTATATATTTAAGAAAAAAAATGATATTTATATATAACAAATGTATATTTATATATAATAAAAATATATATACATGCAAATATTTCTTAATGCATGTGTGTGTATTTATAAATACAAAAATGATTATCCACCGCGCACACACACACACATAAATTGTGTAAACACACTTTTATTCTGGATGCGATTAATCGTTGCCCAGCGCTAATTTTTACACAAATGATAAATTGTTTGTTTTGTTTTATAAAACTCACAAAAAGGTTTTCGTATAATTTTACTTCTGAAGTAAAACAGGACAAAAAACAAGGTTTCCCGGAGCCGGATGCAGACTCCGAGACTCTAGACATCTGTGTTCTGATGCCGAGCTCTGATATCGTGTGATGATTAGCCCATGATGATCTCCTCTGGATCAGACACACTTCGACGTCACTCACACACACTTGCTGAAACACAGGATTGCTCCATCGGTGTGTGTGAAAGGAAGCGAGGGTCAGCAGGGCTCAGTGTTGGGTCCGTCTCTCTTCTGCCATCACTTACTCTCAACACACACACACACACACAGTTTATGAGTTTGTTAGATTTATAAGACGATGATGAAGTGTTTAATGACTAATATCCATGACTGAGATATGAATATGTACGATGCGACTAACACTCATACTGTACTAACTGATGATGTAGCCTTGACTTAGACTGTGAATTACTGTATGATGGAAGTCATATTTCATTGTGAACTAAATGAAAATCAAAGGCATTACTGAAAATAATAGTATCATTTTTTAGAAAAAAAAACACTATACTTATAACCAAAAATCTGAATTATTAATATATTAATTTCTTTATTTATTAAACGTTACTGTAAGCGTAACACTGTGACGCATTTGTTTGCTACTAATACCAGCAGAAGTTGTGAATGCTGTGAATCATATTCAGATGTTTATGCACTGTTGATCTGTGAGACGCACACTAACTCTCGCTTCTACTGTATATTACTGATCACAGCATAACCATGTCTATATTAATCAATAAATCATGGGATGAAACCCGTGTGTGTGTGTGTTATTCGAGTTTAATAAATTAATAATACAAACTGCAATAATAAAAAGCTTCACAAATAAAGAACACACATTATCTTCCAGAATAACAATCATATTTGTACATAGATATTAATATTAACTGATGAATACTCTTCTCTTATTTTTGCTAAATTAATTATGTAATAATCACAATGATTCTGGCCAACAACACCAAGAATTAATTATTTATTCTGCATGTTCCTTGAAATTATATATAAATATCAATTTAATCAACATTAAAAAAAATGAAAAATTGTGTCGTTTAAAATGAAAACCAGAAATAATAAAAACTCACACTTTACATTTAAAAATATAATAATAATATAATTCATTACAACTGTAATAATTAAAACGTGTAAATACAAGCGCCACCTCAGAATAACACGTTTTTATATTCACACACACAGTTAATCAGCATTCCTCAAAATATACAGTGAAATGCACTTATTTATATATGAACTATGCTTCAGTTATACTCTAAATAATGTTTACTCAATGAATTCTTGCCACTTTTAAGATTAGATTGAGATAAAAGCGTCCGAATGAATTAATGTAAATGTATTAAATGCGCAGAAACAGAACACTGTAATGTGTGAGCAATATTGATAATTTTGTAATATGAACCATTTAGGAAGTCTAAAAAAATACATAAGCCTTAGAAAAATTCACATGCATTCATTTAAATTATTTTTAATCTAATAAATTCAATTATTTTTACTTGAATGCGTTAATTTTAAGGCTCGAGTTTTCTCTTTAACTCCTTCATAATTTCGAGTTTGCATATTACGATGCACTGATCAATATAAGTGATTGGTTTATATTATTGTAGGCTATATAGATGATGCACAGATCATTTTATAAATATTAACCATTATCTCTTTGTATATGTATCCGTTTTATGTATGTTGCATGTTATGTCTGTGCCTTCTGAATGGACCAAGAGTCTGGAAATAAAGTTGATGATGTTGATCATTTAGGAGGTCTAAATGCATATAAATTCCCATGAATTAAAGTAAATTATTTTTTACTTGAATGCGTTAATTTTCAGGCTCGAGTTCTCATGAATGCCCTGGTCTATATCGGTGATCAGTTTATGATATTACTGCACACGCTGGAGCCCATGTCAGGGCCTGGCCAGCGGAGAGCTTCTGCGCATGCGCACCGGAGCAGCGCTAATGGCGGAGAGCGTGCGGTCGCCGTTCGATTACCGGGATCCCCCGACCCTCGACAGCGACGGGGACGGCAGCAAGCCTCCGCCACCGCGCGGGTGAGTCTCTCCCGCTAACGGAACCGATCGGGCCGTTTGATTCGGTTGGGAACGTTGGGATTCGCGTGCGTGCTAACGGCTAGCAGGTCCGGTTCTGTTGTCCTCGTGCCCACCGTGATGAGAGAACACCCGTGGCCGTTCTATCTCGTTCTCTGAGCTCGCGTGTGTCTTTACAGTGTGTGTGTGTTTACAGTGTGTGTGTGTTTTCCGTACGGCTTTACCGGGGGACCGAAACGCGGCCGCAACTCGTACGATTAGCAAAACACCGCGCGAGTGCGCGAAACCTGTGAGCGCGTGCACGTGTGCAGGCGACCGTTACAACAGTTTGCCATGGTAACCGTAACGCAAAACATCGAGCGAATATTTTTTTACGACCGATAGCGATTAATTTTGTGCTTCAATGTGTCCATTATTCGCTTTGTTAAACCCATTTTGATTGGCTTATTTTTGCATTTCATACCTAACTAAATAGTCAAACAGTTAACGTTAACATAATATGCATTATCTATATAACGACAATAATAATTGACATTAGTTTGTGTTTGTGTTATGTATATGATGTGCATGTGTGTGTGTGTGTGTGTGTGTGTGTGTGTATATACACACAAACACACATACATATGTATGTGTATATATATATATATATATATATATATATATACCGGTATCAGGTGAAGCGTTTATTAAGCTTTTATTGTGATGATTAATTTTCACATTATTATTTACATGATTATTTATTTATTATTAATTTTGTGTGTTTATTAAACTGTTATTGTCAGCACTGATGCCTGTAATAGTCAGTACTGTAAGTAACGCTGTGTGTGTGTGTGTGTGTGTGTGTGTTTCGCAGGCGTGTGTGTGGCAGGAAGAGGAAGGGGACGCCGGTGAAAGTGTGTGAACGGGTCGCGTATGTGACGGAGGATGAAGAGGAGAGTCTGTCTGAACACAGTTACAGCCCAGGTACTGTTATATACATATCTATACCACAGCTAAAACTACTAACCCAACTAATGTAGTCAGTGGTCAAATAAAAACATAATCAAATAGAAGCAAAAGCACAAATAAATACAATATGACAAAGATACAAATGAAATAAAAAGCTATTTTCAGGTTTAATAAACTGTGATAATGTGAGAAATGTTGAAGGAGTCTGAATGTTGGTTTGACTGTAGATTATTCTCAACAAAAAACACATTATATTCTGTCTTAAGCTTTAACAAACTGTTCCATTTTTAAAAGTATAATTTGATATGTGAAGCTTTACAGGGCTAGTCTCCTCATGTGTTGTGTGTGACTGACGTTGTTGTGATTGTTGTGTAAGGGGACGAGCCGTACGCAGAGGGAGCAGAAGACCGCCTTCCCCCGCCGGGGAGCCCGTACTTCCTCACCGACCCGTCACAGCTCTGGTACTGGCGCTCTCACATGTTTCCGGCTCTACTAGAACAGTTTTCCTGCTTGAATGTTGATTATTCTCCTCATATTCTCCATTGTTGCGGCTCCTCTCTTCCCAGTCTGTCAGTAACGCTCTGTTTACTTCCTGTCTCTATGAAGCCCCTCCTTCTGAAAAGCACACTGTGCTCTGATTGGTCGGCTGGAGCAGTGTGTTGTGATTGGTCGAGCGCTTCGAGTGTGTTTGGGAAATGTCCCGCCCCTTTCCATAACCGCCAGTTTAACACACTACTAACTCAACCAGGCCCCGCCCCTTTATTCTGCGCATTAATTATTATAATGAGGAATATTGTGACGTGTTCCCGGGAGAAACTCGAGACTAATGGAGGCGTTTCAGGAGTTCAGGAACACTGACTCTGATATAGAGGAGAACTGGAGCTTCTTCATGCTCAAACAGTAGAATATGGCTCTTTAATGTGTGTGTGTGTGTGTGTGTGTGTGTGTGTGTGTGTGTGTGTGTGTGTGTGTGTAGTGTTCCTGAGCTCGGGGAAGAGGGAGCGAGTGGTGTTCGAGGTCCTGTGCTCTTCCACCCGCCGGCCAACTGCAGGATCAGAGAGGTGCATTGTGGGAATCAGGTCCGGCTTGTCGTCATAGCGATTCGAGACATTGCCAAAGGTGAGGAGATCACAGTGGACTACAGCCTGAACGACTGGGGGGAGAACGCCTTGGTGAGTCCGCTACACACATCTACACACATCTACATAATCACACTACACACATCTACATAATCACACTACACACATCTACATAATCACACTACACACATCTACACACATCTACATAATCACACTACACACATCTACATAATCACACTACACACATCTGCATAATCACACTACACACATCTACACACATCTACATAATCACACTACACACATCTACACACATCTACACACATCTGCATAATCACACTACACACATCTACACACATCTACATAATCACACTACACACATCTACACACATCTACATAATCACACTACACACATCTGCATAATCACACTACACACATCTACACACATCTACATAATCACACTACACACATCTACACACATCTACATAATCACACTACACACATCTACATAATCACACTACACACATCTACATAATCACACTTAATCCGACATTATGCTCATGTTGTTGAATTAAATGGGAATTTATTAATTGTCACGTTTATCTCCCACAACCTTTGTTTGAAAATCCCAGACGAGCCCCGGTGATGTTAAACGTCCCAGGTCCTGTTGAGACTCACTGTGTGTGTGTGTGTGTGTGTGTGTGTGTGTGTGTGTGTGTGTGTGTGTGTGTGTGTGTGTGTGTGTGTGTGTGTGTGTGTGTTTCACTTCTGTGTTTAATACAGGGTTTTCACAGCTCAGTGTCTCCACGCGGCTTTGAGTGTGGATTCAACCCAGAGGGAGACATCAAGAAGGTGAATCACACACACACTCATCACACACGCGCACACACACTCACTCACACACGCACACACACACTCAACATGAGTTTGAGTTTCTAACGCATCTGAAAATAGGCTAATAGCTTGATAAATATGCTACAATAAATTGGAAATCTAGCAAAGTATTAAAAACCATATAGTTTTACAGGGTATCCGCGGGTCCTTAAAAAGTCTTAAAAAGTCTTAAATTAGATTTAAAAAATGTATGGCCTTAAAAAGTCTTATTTTGACTTATGAAAGGTCTTAAATTTTCAATGGCAATTTGAGTTAGACATATCTAAATGTTTTCCAAATTAAAACTATCTAATTAGCGTACTTTTTTATTTATTATTCGTTCTTTGTGGATTTGCTCGTTCACGTGACATTTCGCGTCACATTCGCGGCAGCATTACGTCTGTCTCCTGCACGCGAAACAGCAGGAGAGGAGAAGAAAGCTGGTTAATTTCAGTTCAATTGTAAGTTCATTCTTTATGTGCGTAGTGGTGTGCGATGTGTATTGTCTATTATGATATTGTAATCATTGTTTTACTTTAACGTTAACTATGTACGAGGGCGCACTGCGAGCTGACATCGCATTGGTCTCTCATGCTTGCTTTCACTGCGTGATGTGTCAGTGCAGTTATAGGTATGTTCCCTAATAGACGTATAAAGTTTTTGTATTTTATATATCATATGTTGTTATCATACAATATTACATCAGCAAGAGGGCTGTTTTCCCGTGCACAATAGCAAATATGATATTTAATTTATATATAACAGTTAAATTAACATTGTTACATTTTATTAACAATATTGTCAATATTGTTTGTTTTCCCTTTATTTCGCTGACGAGAATTTCAAAATGAAACCGTAGCAGAGTCTCAATGCAAAAGACAGCGATGATTTCTTGACTGAAATCCGCGTTTTGAACGAATCATTTTAACGATTCAATGAACAATCACTTGCAGTTCCTGAATGAATCAGCCGTTTGAACAAATCGTTTGAATGAATGACTCCCTGAGACAGTGACTTGCCGCCGCCTACTGGCGGGTTTAGTTTCACATTTAAAGTACCCTGTAATTAAAATGTTACAATTAGAAATCAGTTCATATTTAAATATTGAATTAAGAATTGAAAGAATTGAATATATCATAGCTTTATTTATGCAATTGTAAATGGAGTATAAATATATTAATGCCAGTTCTGATGCTGCTTCTGTGTCTCCTCTGCACTGCAAAGATGGATTTTGATTTAATGATTTAATTTAACTGGTAACAGTGGTATTGTGTTATTATTCTAATATAATTTAATTTGAATGTTAGAATTTGACATAAAGGGTGATGCATACCTCTAAGTAAAAAAAAAAAAAAAAAAAGTCCACATATGGGTGAAAATGCCCCTGGAACTCAATTTAAGGTGGCAAATATTGCCCTTTAATAAAAAATGTTAATTCCTTTCACTGCTGTGAACTGACCACTGCATAGAATATGAAAAATATGAATATCTTCGTGAGTCAGCTGTCAACAACAGGCCTAAACCAGCCATGGTACCAGTACACAAACACAATCAGTAAAATATCATAATTATCATCAACAAAACTTTGAAAATATTGAGACATTTTTTTTTCAATATTGCGCACCCCTAATGTAAGGTACTAATTTTGATTTCTTCAGGTCTTAAAAAGGTCTTAAAAAGGTCTTAAAAAGCCTTAAATTTGACTTTAAAAAGTGTGCAGATACCCTGTTTTAAATTCTATCTTATGTCGACATATTCCTCCAATAACTACACCACTCTAGAAGTGAATCAATCAAAACTAACTTTATCTGGACAATAACTTTATTCTAGAGCTGCTGTAAAGCCTAAACACTCTCTGTTACTGTAATCTCCTGTTATCACTGTAAAGCTGCTGTGAAACATCTATATTCAAAGCGCTGTATAAATGGAGACTTGACTTGACTAGAAACACTCGTTTTGCTGCGTTCCAATGCACACTTTTGATGAAACATCTTCCCTAAAACACTTTCAGTTTACAAAAACTAGATTTTTAGATGATAGTGTCTCACTTCCAGCTCTCTGTGTCTGTAGGAGGAGGATCCCGGTTCCCTCCCTCTCTCTCTCAATGTTTCTGACTACCTCACTCCCTCATGGTCTCTGTCTCCCTCCTCCTCTCCGGCGTCCCACTCCGAACCCAGCGACTCCGACCGCGAGGATGAAGAAGAAGAGGAGGAAGAGGAAGACGATGATGACGACGACGACGATGAAGAGCTAGAGGAGCTGAGGGGCCGAATGATGAGGCGGCGCAAGAAAAGGAAAACCTCAGCCAGTGTGAAGAAAAAGACTCAGCCCCGCCCCCTTTCGTTCGCTAGCCCCGCCCCTTCCTCCACCTCCCCCTTCCAGCAGCCTCTAGCCCCGCCGACCACCAACATAAACAATAACATAAACATAAACATCGGGCACGGCGCGAGTCGCAGACACTGTCCGTACTGTGGACGCCACTTCCGCTCGCTCGCACGGCACCTGGAGAAACACCACGATCAGCAGCCCGAGGTTCGAGCCGCCATGGAGCTATCGCTACTCCCCGCTAACGCTACGCCCGCCGACTCCTTCCTCTCTCCCGCTCAACCCTCGTCGTCCTCGCTGGGAACGCCACTGTTTTCCCGAGAGCAAGAGCCTTTGTCTTCGCCATCTAAACCTGGAGCCGTCTCCTTCTCGCTCTCGGTGTCTCCGCCTCCGAATGCCTCGAAGAAGACGAACGCGACGCCCACGCCCACTAGGAAGGGCGTTAGCAAGAGCGTCAGCAAGAGCGCTGTAACGCGCACGCCTCCCGCCAGGAGGGGGCGTCCGCCGAAGAGAGAGAAGGATCTGCAGCAGAAGAAACAGGAGGAGATGACCAAAGAGGAGGCGCAGCCCACGCCTGGAAAGGAGGAGGAGGAGGAGAACGAGTTGCACGTGAGAGGAGACGGAGAAGAGAAGAACGGTGAAATGACGAGGTTAGTTTGTGTCTGAAACTTTTGTTGCTTAGAAAGGTTCGCTTGAAATCAAAAGTGGTGTTGTTTTGGAAGCTTGTTTCCTCCACAGAATAAAAAAGGTAACTTTTTATCTCAGAATTGCATGATATAAAGTCAGAATTGTGAGAAATAAAGTCAGAATTGCGAGATCTATAGTCAGAATTGCCTGATATAAAGTCAGAATTGCAAGATATAAAGTCAGAATTGCGTGATATAAAATCAGAATTACGAGAAATAGTCAGAATTGCCTGATATAAAGTCAGAATTGCCTGATATAAAGTCAGAATTGCGTGATATAAAGTCAGAATTGCGAGATATAAAGTCAGAATTGCCTGATATAAAGTCAGAATTGCGAGATATAAAGTCAGAATTGCAAGATATAAAGTCAGAATTGCGAGATATAAAGTCAGAATTGCGTGATATGAAGTGAGAATTGCCTGATATAAAGTCAGAATTGCCAGGTATAAAGTCAGAATTGCCTGATATAAAGTCAGAATTGCAAGATATAAAGTCAGAATTGCGTGATATAAAATCAGAATTACGAGAAATAGTCAGAATTGCCTGATATAAAGTCAGAATTGCGAGATATAAAGTCAGATTGTCGAGATATAAAGTCAGAATTGCGTGATATAAAGTCAGAATTGCCTGATATAAAGTCAGAATTGCGAGATATAAAGTCAGAATTGCAAGATATAAAGTCAGAATTGCGAGATATAAAGTCAGAATTGCGTGATATAAAGTCAGAATTGCGAGATATAAAGTCAGAATTGCCAGATATAAAGTCAGAATTGCGTGATATGAAGTGAGAATTGCCTGATATAAAGTCAGAATTGCCAGGTATAAAGTCAGAATTGCCAGGTATAAAGTCAGAATTGCCAGGTATAAAGTCAGAATTGCCAGATATAAAGTCAGAATTGCCAAATATAAAGTCAGAATTGCCTGATATGAAGTCAAAATTGGGTGATATAAAGTCAGAATTGCCTGATAAAGTCAGAATTGCCTGATAAAGTCAGAATTGCCTGATAAAGTCAGAATTGCCTGATATAAAGTCAGAATTGGGTTATATAAAGTCAGAATTGGGTTATATAAAGTCAGAATTGCCAGATATAAAGTCAGAATTGCCAGATATAAAGTCAGAATTGCCAGATATAAAGTCAGAATTGCCAGATATAAAGTCAGAATTGCGTGATATAAAATCAGAATTACGAGAAATAGTCAGAATTGCCTGATATAAAGTCAGAATTGTGTGATATAAAGTCAGAATTGCGAGATATAAAGTCAGATTGTCGAGATATAAAGTCAGAATTGCGTGATATAAAGTCAGAATTGCCTGATATAAAGTCAGAATTGCGAGATATAAAGTCAGAATTGCAAGATATAAAGTCAGAATTGCGAGATATAAAGTCAGAATTGCGTGATATAAAGTCAGAATTGCGAGATATAAAGTCAGAATTGCCAGATATAAAGTCAGAATTGCGTGATATGAAGTGAGAATTGCCTGATATAAAGTCAGAATTGCCAGGTATAAAGTCAGAATTGCCAGGTATAAAGTCAGAATTGCCAGGTATAAAGTCAGAATTGCCAGGTATAAAGTCAGAATTGTGAGATATAAAGTCAGAATTGCGAGATATAAAGTCAGAATTGCGAGATATAAAGTCAGAATTGCCTGATATAAAGTCAGAATTGCCAGATATAAAGTCAGAATTGCCAAATATAAAGTCAGAATTGCCTGATATGAAGTCAGAATTGCCTGATAAAGTCAGAATTGCGAGATATGAAGTCAGAATTGCCTGATATAAAGTCAGAATTGGGTTATATAAAGTCAGAATTGCGTGATATAATAAAGTCAGAATTGAGTGATATAAAGTCAGATTTGCGAGATATAAAGTCAGATTTGCGAGATATAAAGTCAGAATTGCCAGATATAAAGTCAGAATTGCCAGATATAAAGTCAGATTTGCGAGATATAAAGTCAGAATTGCCAGATATAAAGTCAGAATTGCCAGATATAAAGTCAGAATTGCCAGATATAAAGTCAGAATTGCGTGATATAAAGTCAGAATTGCGAGATATAAAGTCAGAATTGCCTGATATAAAGTCAGAATTGCGTAATATAATAAAGTCAGAATTGAGTGATATAAGGTCAGAATTGCGTGATATAATAAAGTCAGAATTGAGTGATATAAAGTCAGAATTGCCTGATATAAAGTCAGAATTGCGTTAAATAAAGTCAGAATTGCCAGATATAAAGTCAGAATTGCCTGATATAAAGTCAGAATTGCCTGATATAAAGTCAGAATTGCCAGATATAAAGTCAGAATTGCCAAATATAAAGTCAGAATTGCCAGATATAAAGTCAGAATTGCCTGATATGAAGTCAAAATTGGGTGATATAAAGTCAGAATTGCCTGATATGAAGTCAAAATTGGGTGATATAAAGTCAGAATTGCCTGCTAAAGTCAGAATTGCCTGATAAAGTCAGAATTGCGAGATATGAAGTCAGAATTGCCAGATATAAAGTCCGAATTTCCAGATATAAAGTCAGAATTGCGTTATATAAAGTCAGAATTGCGAGATATAAAGTCAGAATTGCGAGATATAAAGTCAGAATTGTGAGATATAAAGTCAGAATTGCCAGATATAAAGTCAGAATTGCCAGATATAAAGTCAGAATTGCGTTATATAAAGTCAGAATTGCGAGATATAAAGTCAGAATTGCGAGATATAAAGTCAGAATTGTGAGATATAAAGTCAGAATTGCCAGATATAAAGTCAGAATTGCCAGATATAAAGTCAGAATTGCCAGATATAAAGTCAGAATTGCCAGATATAAAGTCAGAATTGCCAGATATAAAGTCAGAATTGCCAGATATAAAGTCAGAATTGCCAGATATAAAGTCAGAATTGCCAGATATAAAGTCAGAATTGCGTTATATAAAGTCAGAATTGCGAGATATAAAGTCAGAATTGCCAGATATAAAGTCAGAATTGCCAGATATAAAGTCAGAATTGCCAGATATAAAGTCAGAATTGCGTTATATAAAGTCAGAATTGCGAGATATAAAGTCAGAATTGCCAGATATAAAGTCAGAATTGCCAGATATAAAGTCAGAATATATAAAGTCAGAATTGCCAGATATAAAGTCAGAATTGCCAGATATAAAGTCAGAATTGCCTGATATAAAGTCAGAATTGCCAGATATAAAGTCAGAATTGCCAGATATAAAGTCAGAATTGCCAGATATAAAGTCAGAATTGCCAGATATAAAGTCAGAATTGCCAGATATAAAGTCAGAATTGCCAGATATAAAGTCAGAATTGCCAGATATAAAGTCAGAATTGCGTTATATAAAGTCAGAATTGCGAGATATAAAGTCAGAATTGCGAGATATAAAGTCAGAATTGTGAGATATAAAGTCAGAATTGCCAGATATAAAGTCAGAATTTCCAGATATAAAGTCAGAATTGCGTTATATAAAGTCAGAATTGCGAGATATAAAGTCAGAATTGCGAGATATAAAGTCAGAATTGTGAGATATAAAGTCAGAATTGCCAGATATAAAGTCAGAATTGCGTTATATAAAGTCAGAATTGCGTTATATAAAGTCAGAATTGCGAGATATAAAGTCAGAATTGCGAGATATAAAGTCAGAATTGCGAGATATAAAGTCAGAATTGCCAGATATAAAGTCAGAATTGCCAGATATAAAGTCAGAATTGCCAGATGTAAAGTCAGAATTGCCAGATATAAAGTCAGAATTGCCAGATATAAAGTCAGAATTGCCAGATATAAAGTCAGAATTGCCAGATATAAAGTCAGAATTGCCAGATATAAAGTCAGAATTGCCAGATATAAAGTCAGAATTGCCAGATATAAAGTCAGAATTGCCAGATATAAAGTCAGAATTGCCAGATATAAAGTCAGAATTGCCAGATATAAAGTCAGAATTGCCAGATATAAAGTCAGAATTGCGTTATATAAAGTCAGAATTGCGAGATATAAAGTCAGAATTGCGAGATATAAAGTCAGAATTGTGAGATATAAAGTCAGAATTGCCAGATATAAAGTCAGAATTTCCAGATATAAAGTCAGAATTGCGTTATATAAAGTCAGAATTGCGAGATATAAAGTCAGAATTGCGAGATATAAAGTCAGAATTGTGAGATATAAAGTCAGAATTGCCAGATATAAAGTCAGAATTGCCAGATATAAAGTCAGAATTGCGTTATATAAAGTCAGAATTGCGAGATATAAAGTCAGAATTGCGAGATATAAAGTCAGAATTGTGAGATATAAAGTCAGAATTGCCAGATATAAAGTCAGAATTGCCAGATATAAAGTCAGAATTGCCAGATATAAAGTCAGAATTGCCAGATATAAAGTCAGAATTGCCAGATATAAAGTCAGAATTGCCAGATATAAAGTCAGAATTGCCAGATATAAAGTCAGAATTGCCAGATATAAAGTCAGAATTGCCAGATATAAAGTCAGAATTGCCTGATATGAAGTCAAAATTGCGTGATATAAAGTCAGAATTGCCAGATATAAAGTCAGAATTGCCAGATATAAAGTCAGAATTGCCAGATATAAAGTCAGAATTGCGAGATATAAAGTCAGAATTGCCAGATATAAAGTCAAAATTGCGTGATATAAAGTCAGAATTGCGTGATATAAAGTCAGAATTGCGTGATATAAAGTCAGAATTGCGTGATATAAAGTCAGAATTGCGTGATATAAAGTCAGAATTGCCAGATATAAAGTCAGAATTGCCAGATATGAAGTCAAAATTGCGTGATATAAAGTCAGAACTGCCTGATAAAGTCAGAATTGCCTGATAAAGTCAGAATTGCGTGATATGAAGTCAGAATTGCGTGATATAAAGTCAGAATTGCGAGATATAAAGTCAGAATTGCCTGATATAAAGTCAGAATTGCGTGATATAAAGTCAGAATTGCGAGATATAAAGTCAGAATTGCCTGATATAAAGTCAGAATTGGGTTATATAAAGTCAGATTTGCGAGATATAAAGTCAGATTTGCGAGATATAAAGTTAGAATTGCCTGATAAAGTCAGAATTGCCTGATATAAAGTCAGAATTGCCTGATATAAAGTCAGAATTGCCTGATATAAAGTCAGAATTGCCTGATATAAAGTCAAAATTGCGTTATATAAAGTCAAAATTGCGTTATATAAAGTCAGAATTGCCTGATATAAAGTCAGAATTGCCTGATATAAAGTCAGAATTGCCTGATATAAAGTCAGAATTGCGTGATATAAAGTCAGAATTGCGTGATATAAAGTCAGAATTGCCTGATAAAGTCAGAATTGCGTGATATAAAGTCAGAACTGCCTGATATAAAGTCAGAATTGCCTGATATAAAGTCAGAATTGCCTGATATAAACTAAAGTCAGAATTGCGTGATATAAAGTCAGAATTGCCTGATAAAGTCAGAATTGCCTGATATAAAGTCAGAATTGCCTGATATAAAGTCAGAATTGCGTGATATAAAGTCAGAATTGCGTGATATAAAGTCAGAATTGCCAGATATAAAGTCAGAATTGCCTGATATAAAGTCAGAATTGGGTTATATAAAGTCAGAATTGCCTGATATAAACTAAAGTCAGAATTGCCTGATAAAGTCAGAATTGCCTGATAAAGTCAGAATTGCCTGATATAAAGTCAGAATTGCGTGATATAAAGTCAGAATTGCCAGATATAAAGTCAGAATTGCCTGATATAAAGTCAGAATTGCCTGATATAAAGTCAGAATTGCCTGATATAAACTAAAGTCAGAATTGCGTGATATAAACTAAAGTCAGAATTGCCTGATATAAAGTCAGAATTGCCTGATATAAAGTCAGAATTGCCTGATATAAAGTCAAAATTGCGTGATATAAAGTCAGAATTGCCTGATATAAAGTCAGAATTGCGTGATATAAAGTCAGAATTGCCTGATATAAAGTCAGAATTGCGTTATATAAAGTCAAAATTGCGTTATATAAAGTCAAAATTGCGTTATATAAAGTCAGAATTGCCTGATATAAAGTCAGAATTGCCTGATATAAAGTCAGAATTGCCTGATATAAAGTCAGAATTGCCTGATATAAAGTCAGAATTGCGTGATATAAAGTCAGAATTGCCTGATATAAAGTCAGAATTGCCTGATAAAGTCAGAATTGCGTGATATAAAGTCAGAATTGCCTGATATAAAGTCAAAATTGCGTGATATAAAGTCAGAATTGCCTGATATAAACTAAAGTCAGAATTGCGTGATATAAAGTCAGAACTGCCTGATATAAAGTCAGAATTGCGTGATATAAAGTCAGAATTGCCTGATATAAACTAAAGTCAGAATTGCGTGATATAAAGTCAGAATTGCGTGATATAAAGTCAGAATTGCGTGATATAAAGTCAGAATTGCCTGATATAAAGTCAGAATTGCCTGATATAAAGTCAGAAATGCGTGATATAAAGTCAGAATTGCCTGATATAAAGTCAGAATTGCCAGATATAAAGTCAGAATTGCCAGATATAAAGTCAGAATTGCGTGATATAAAGTCAGAATTGCCTGATATAAAGTCGGAATTGCCTGATATAAAGTCAGAATTGCGTTATATAAAGTCAGAATTGCCTGATATAAAGTCAGAATTGCGTTATATAAAGTCAGAATTGCGTGATATAAAGTCAGAATTGCCTGATAAAAAGTCAGAATTGCCTGATATAAAGTCAGAATTGCGTTATATAAAGTCAGAATTGCCTGATATAAAGTCAGAATTGCCTGATATAAAGTCAGAATTGCGTGATATAAAGTCAGAATTGCGTGATATAAAGTCAGAATTGCCTGATATAAAGTCAGAATTGCCTGATATACACTCACCGGCCACTTTATTAGGTACCCCATGCTAGTAACGGGTTGGACCCCCTTTTGCCTTCAGAACTGCCTCAATTCTTCGTGGCATAGATTCAACAAGGTGCTGGAAGCATTCCTCAGGGAGTTTGGTCCATATTGACATGATGGCATCACACAGTTGCCGCAGATTTGTCGGCTGCACATCCATGATGCGAATCTCCCGTTCCACCACATCCCAAAGATGCTCTATTGGGTTGAGATCTGGTGACTGTGGAGGCCATTTTAGTACAGTGAACTCATTGTCATGTTCAAGAAACCAATTTGAAATGATTAGAGCTTTGTGACATGGTGGAAGTAGCCATCAGAGGATGGGTACATGGTGGCCATAAAGGGATGGACATGGTCAGAAACAATGCTCAGGTAGGCCGTGGCATTTAAACGATGCCCAATTGGCACTAAGGGGCCTAAAGTGTGCCAGGAAAACATCCCCCACACCATTACACCACCACCACCAGCCTGCACAGTGGTAACAAGGCATGATGGTTCCATGTTCTCATTCTGTTTACGCCAAATTCTGACTCTAACATCTGAATGTCTCAACAGAAATCGAGACTCATCAGACCAGGCAACATTTTTCCAGTCTTCAACTGTTCAATTTTGGTGAGCTCTTGCAAATTGTAGCCTCTTTTTCCTATTTGTAGTGGAGATGAGTGGTACCCGGTGGAGTCTTCTGCTGTTGTAGCCCATCCGCCTCAAGGTTGTGCGTGTTGTGGCTTCACAAATGCTTTGCTGCATACCTCGGTTGTAACGAGTGGTTATTTCAGTCACTGTTGCCCTTCTATCAGCTCGAACCAGTCTGGCCATTCTCCTCTGACCTCTGGCATCAACAAGGCATTTCCGCCCACAGAACTGCCGCTCACTGGATGTTTTTTCTTTTTCGGACCATTCTCTGTAAACCCTAGAGATGGTTGTGCGTGAAAATCCCAGTAGATTAGCAGTTTCTGAAATACTCAGACCAGCCCTTCTGGCACCAACAATCATGCCACGTTCAAAGTCACTCAAATCAACTTTCTTCCCCATACTGATGCTCGGTTTGAACTGCAGGAGATTGTCTTGACCATGTCTACATGCCTAAATGCACTGAGTTGCCGCCATGTGATTGGCTGCTTAGAAATTAAGTGTTAACGAGCAGTTGGACAGGTGTACCTAATAAAGTGGCCGGTGAGTGTAAAGTCAGAATTGCGTTATATAAAGTCAGAATTGCCTGATATAAAGTCAGAATTGCGTGATATAAAGTCAGAATTGCGTGATATAAAGTCAGAATTGCCCGATATAAAGTCAGAATTGCGTGATATAATAAAGTCAGAATTGCGTGATATAAAGTCAGAATTGCCTGATATAAAGTCAGAATTGCCTGATATAAAGTCAGAATTGCGTGATATAATAAAGTCAGAATTGCCTGATATAAAGTCAGAATTGCCTGATATGAAGTCAGAATTGCCAGATATGAAGTCAGAATTGCGAGATGTAAAGTCAAAATTGCGTTATGTAAAGTCAAAATTGCATTATGTAAAGTCAGAATTGCGTGATATAATGTCAGAATTGCGTGAAATAAAGTCAAAATTGCGTGATAAAGATAACTATATCAGCAGTGGACGGTGTGGACTGTTTATTTGTCGTCTGCCGCTTTAAATGCTGGAGCTCGTTACAGCAGGATGGATTCTGATTGACTGTCAAATAAACATTTTAATTTCAGATATTCATCAAATTAAAAAAAAGTGCAGCATCTGCAGCGCAAGTCTGTCATACCGGCTACATAAAGCTATCATGAGAACTTTATAATTTTGTGTTTGGGACATAGTGAGACTTTTGTTTTTGTAATTACGCTCTCAAAAATTATATAAGAATGTGGATTTAGATTTATCGGCCAATTTATCGGTTATCGCTTTCAAATATAAAGAATTATCGTATTGGCCAAAATCTTCATATCGGTGCATCCCTAGTTATACTGATTCAAGATTATTAAAACAGTAATGATGTGCACGGATAAATCATTTAGAATAAACATTGCAAAATGACATGAAAAAATAAAGAATTGTCCATTTTGATTTCATTAAGACTTTAACAAAAAGGTTTTTCCCTGAACGGCTGAATTGTTGTCCAAGTGCTGAAATTTTAAAATGCTGATATTTCACTGTTTCCTGTTCCAGCTTTTCACGTGTTCTGGGTTGGTAGATGATTATAGACCCGATTATAGCACTTGAACACGGAAAGAGTCACTGTCCCCTTTAAAATGCTGATGTTTCTCTGTGGTGTTTGTGCTTCCCTGCAGCTCGCAGCGCTCACACATGCCTCCTCTGCTGTCGTCTCTGTCCACGCTGGTCATGTTCCTGCGCCGACAGCAGCACTCCTCCTTCCTCACGCTGTCCCGGGCCTCGGGCTCGGCGGAGGCCTGGCGTCTGCTCTGCCACTCCAGCCTAGCTCTGCTAATCCTCTACAACCGGCACCGCGAGTGCGAGGTGGCCAAGCTCACCATCCAGGACTACCGGGACCGAAACTCAGTCCTCCCGTCGGACGAGTCTCTTTCCCCTTTCGAGCGGCACGTGCTCTGCCACCTCACTCGCGTGGGCGTTTTAGGCAAGCGTGGTCGCGTTCAGCCGCTAATCCTTCCTCCGCATTCAGAAGCGTGTCTGGATCTTCTCTTAAAGACGTCAGGAGATGTAGGAGTCGATCCTGAGAGCCCGTACGTGTTTTCCCGGCCGTATCACTCGCCGGCTACGCCACTCCGCGGCACCGACCTTCTCCGGAGCCTAGCGCGCACTAGCGGCGCTAAAAACCCCACGACGCTAACCGCGCCCCGCGCCCGCCGCCAGGTGGCCATCCTTACCCAACTCCTGCTGCTCGAGGAGGGAGAAAAGGCCTCAGGCGCTGCTACCAAGCGATTGGAGGATTTCCTGCAGAGGGAGTACCATGTGACCCAGAGCTGCGCTCGGATTGGTCAGGACCCGGCGCTGATGAACCGTGTGGGGCGAGTGGTGTTGTACGGGGAGCGCGAGGGGGTTCTGTTCAGAGGGATGAGTCTGCAGCACATCTGCCTCGAGCTGGACGGTAAGACGGGGAAATAAAACACTAAAATGTCCTTTCTAAAGGATTCGATGTGCAACGCATGTGACATCACGTCTGCTAAATGCAGTGATGTGAATTACTGATGCCCACCCTCATAAAATGGTACTTGTTGTATTTTATAGCAAATATCATGATTACCAAAAAATGTAATTCCTGGGGATGCACGGTATATCGGCCACCGTATCGGTATCGGCCGATATATGTTCATTTTTAATGTTATCGTTATCGGCCTGATGTATTAAAAATAGAAAATCTGTCCGATATATTAAAGCCGATTAATAATGTATTATTTCCTTCAGCTGAGACTCTTCAGATGCGCACTCTTCACAATGATGGTTTTTAATTGCTTGAAATATGATTGGAAAAAGGGAAAATACAGTAAAGTGCAACAAGTACAGCGCAAGTCTGTCATATAAGCTACATACCATTATGAGAACATCTTTATAATTGTGTGCTTGGGACGTGGCTTTTAATGGTGAGACTTTTGTTTTTGTAATCAGACTCTCAAAAATTATATAAAAATTTGGAATTAGATTTATCGGCCAATATATCGGTTATCGGCTTTCAGATATAAAGAATTATCGGTATCGGCCAAAATGTTCATAGCGCATCCCTAGTAATTCCATTAGATCTGATTACTAAGGCATAGAGACAGACAAGCGTACACTTTTACAGTACTGCATCTGAACACAAGTTCTCTCTCCTCCGGCAGTGATGTCGGGAAACTCTGCCGACTCGTTCTCGGAGGATTCGGATGGGGAAGGCAATGGGAATAAGGAGAGAGCTGTCGTTGTAAAGAAGAGAGTAGCCAGTACTCGAGCGCCGCGGCAGAAGAAGGGACCTAGCCCGCGCGTGACACAGGCCACGCCCTCTCCGTCAGCTGGGCTCAAGAGGCGGAGCTCACAGGTCAAATCAGGTGAGTCACATGACACACTACTGAGCTTAACATTCAACAACTGGCTTCATTTCTTTACTAAAAAAGTGGTTAAATTAAACGTATCGTTTTATATCAGCCGATATATCGGTTATCGGCATCGGCCATCAAAAAATCCATACCTCTAAATAAAATCTAAAGTATAATTTTATTGAGAAATTTTTATTCTTGTGTTATTTACCATCTTTAAATTCAATATATGGGCCAATATTTCGGATATCGGCATCGGCCATTAAACTCCATATCGGTCAACCACTAAATAAAATCTTAAGTATGAATCTGTTTATTCTAGGTTTAGTTTTCGTCAAGTTCAAATTATTTTTTTGCAAATTTATATATTTTCCAATTCAGAATTTCTAATTCAGTAAGTATGTAAAATAAATTTAAAAAATGTTATTAATGTGTTATTTACTATCTACTAATTTTATACACTATTTAGTTTAATGTATGCGAGGTCTGATCTCTGGGGTTTGTGTAACGCGTGTTGCGTGTTCGCCAGGCAAGCGCGGCGTCCTGAAGCGGCCCTGGTCGGAGGCGGAGCGTGTTGCCGTGGAGACGCACCTGAAGCGCAACATCGTGGATCTGCGTGTTCCTGCGAAGGCGGACTGTGAGCGGTGTCTGCAACTCTGCCCTCTGCTGGCCAGCAACCAGCGCGACTGGAGGGCCATCAAGTTCTACTGTCACAACCGCATACAGTTACTGAGGAAACAGGGGCGCCGGGACGGGAACACGCAGTAGCACACACACACACACACACACACACACAACCGCATACAGTTACTGAGGAAACAGGGGCGCCGGGACGGGAACACGCAGTAGCACACACACACACAACCGCATACAGTTACTGAGGAAACAGGGGCGCCGGGACGGGAACACGCAGTAGCACACACACACACACACACACACACACACACACACACACAACCGCTTACAGTTACTGAGGAAACAGGGGCGCCGGGACGGGAACACGCAGTAGCACACACACACACACACACACACACACACACACAACCGCATACAGTTACTGAGGAAACAGGGGCGCCGGGACGGGAACACGCAGTAGCACACACACACACACACACACACAACCGCATACAGTTACTGAGGAAACAGGGGCGCCGGGACGGGAACACGCAGTAGCACACACACACACACACACACACAACCGCATACAGTTACTGAGGAAACAGGGGCGCCGGGACGGGAACACGCAGTAGCACACACACACACACACACACACACACACACACACACACACACACACACACACACACACACACACACACACACACACACACACACAACCGCATACAGTTACTGAGGAAACAGGGGCGCCGGGACGGGAACACGCAGTAGCACACACACACACACACACACACACACACACACACACACACAACCGCATACAGTTACTGAGGAAACAGGGGCGCCGGGACGGGAACACGCAGTAGCACACACACACACACACACACACACACACACACACACACACACACACAACCGCATACAGTTACTGAGGAAACAGGGGCGCCGGGACGGGAACACGCAGTAGCACACACACACACACACACAGACACAGACACACACACACAACCGCATACAGTTACTGAGGAAACAGGGGCGCCGGGACGGGAACACGCAGTAGCACACACACACACACACACACACACACATAACCGCATACAGTTACTGAGGAAACAGGGGCGCCGGGACGGGAACACGCAGTAGCACACACACACACACACACACACACACACAACCGCATACAGTTACTGAGGAAACAGGGGCGCCGGGACGGGAACACGCAGTAGCACACACACACACACAGACTCACACACACACACACTTTACTCCGCGACGTGAGTAAACAATGACAGTTTTTATGTTAAGTTAAGCTATCACACAGTGCAATGATGATGTGTGTATCGCACACACACCTCCCACATTCCCGTGTGTGTGTGTTTCTTGGACCACTTCTCCGCTCCACACACACACTCCAGTATTGGGATTCAAGCTTCGGCTCAGAAACCGCATCGGGACTTTATTTCTCGGTTTCTACATGGACTGTTTCACGCGATGAAATCACTCGCCCCAGAGTTTGCTGTGATGGACTGATTTTTCCTCTGTTTTCTCTCCGCCGACGGGTTATGAAGCAGTGTTTGGGGATTAGGGGCCAGCGTTTCTGTCAGAGGTCAGACCTGCTGATGTCACTCTCAAAGGTCAGACATGCTGATGTCACTCTCAGAGGTCAGACATGCTGATGTCACTCTCAGAGGTCAGACATGCTGATGTCACTGTCAGAGGTCACACCTGCTGATGTCACTGTAAGAGGTCAGAGGTCACACCTGATGATGTCACTATCAGAGGTCACACCTGCTGATGTCACTGTCAGAGGTCACACCTGCTGATGTCACTGTCAGAGGTCACACCTGCTGATGTCACTGTCAGAGGTCACACCTGCTGATGTCACTGTAAGAGGTCAGAGGTCACACCTGATGATGTCACTATCAGAGGTCACACCTGCTGATGTCACTGTCAGAGGTCACACCTGCTGATGTCACTGTCAGAGGTCACACCTGCTGATGTCACTGTCAGAGGTCACACCTGCTGATGTCACTGTCAGAGGTCACACCTGCTGATGTCACTGTCAGAGGTCACACCTGCTGATGTCACTGTCCGAGGTCACACCTGCTGATGTCACTGTCAGAGGTCACACCTGCTGATGTCACTGTCAGAGGTCACACCTGCTGATGTCACTGTAAGAGGTCAGAGGTCACACCTGATGATGTCACTATCAGAGGTCACACCTGCTGATGTCACTGTCAGAGGTCACACCTGCTGATGTCACTGTCAGAGGTCACACCTGCTGATGTCACTGTCCGAGGTCAGACCCGCTGATGTCACTATCAGAGGTCACACCTGCTGATGTCACTGTAAGAGGTCAGAGGTCACACCTGATGATGTCACTATCAGAGGTCACACCTGCTTATGTCACTGTCAGAGGTCACACCTGCTGATGTCACTGTCCGAGGTCACACCTGCTGATGTCACTGTCAGAGGTCACACCTGCTGATGTCACTGTCCGAGGTCAGACCCGCTGATGTCACTGTCCGAGGTCACACCTGCTGATGTCACTGTCAGAGGTCACACCTGCTGATGTCACTGTCCGAGGTCAGACCCGCTGATGTCACTGTCAGAGGTCACACCTGCTGATGTCACTGTCAGAGGTCACACCTGCTGATGTCACTGTAAGAGGTCAGAGGTCACACCTGCTGATGTCACTGTCCGAGGTCAGACCCGCTGATGTCACTGTCCGAGGTCAGACCCGCTGATGTCACTGTCAGAGGTCACACCTGCTGATGTCACTGTCCGAGGTCAGACCCGCTGATGTCACTGTCAGAGGTCACACCTGCTGATGTCACTGTAAGAGGTCAGAGGTCACACCTGCTGATGTCACTGTCCGAAGTCAGACCCGCTGATGTCACTGTCAGAGGTCACACCTGCTGATGTCACTGTAAGAGGTCAGAGGTCACACCTGCTGATGTCACTGTCCGAGGTCAGAGGTCACACCTGCTGATGTCACTGTCCGAGGTCAGACCCGCTGATGTCACTCTCAGAGGTCAGACATGCTGATGTCACTGTCAGAGGTCACACCTGCTGATGTCACTGTCAGAGGTCACACCTGCTGATGTCACTATCAGAGGTCACACCTGCTGATGTCACTGTAAGAGGTCAGAGGTCACACCTGCTGATGTCACTGTCCGAGGTCAGACCCGCTGATGTCACTCTCAGAGGTCAGACCCGCTGATGTCACTGTCAGAGGTCAGACCCGCTGATGTCACTGTCCGAGGTCACACCTGCTGATGTCACTGTAAGAGGTCAGAGGTCACACCTGCTGATGTCACTGTCCGAGGTCACACCTGCTGATGTCACTGTCAGAGGTCACACCTGCTGATGTCACTGTAAGAGGTCAGAGGTCAGAGCTGCTGATGTCACTGTCAGAGGTCACACCTGCTGATGTCACTGTCAGAGGTCACACCTGCTGATGTCACTGTCCGAGGTCACACCTGCTGATGTCACTGTCAGAGGTCACACCTGCTGATGTCACTGTCCGAGGTCACACCTGCTGATGTCACTGTAAGAGGTCAGACCCGCTGATGTCACTGTCCGAGGTCACACCTGCTGATGTCACTGTAAGAGGTCAGAGGTCAGACCTGCTGATGTCACTGTCCGAGGTCACACCTGCTGATGTCACTGTAAGAGGTCAGAGGTCACACCTGCTGATGTCACTGTCCGAGGTCACACCTGCTGATGTCATGGTCAGAGGTCAGAGCTGCTGATGTCACTGTCAGAGGTCACACCTGCTGATGTCACTGTCAGAGGTCACACCTGCTGATGTCACTGTCCGAGGTCACACCTGCTGATGTCACTGTCAGAGGTCACACCTGCTGATGTCACTGTCCGAGGTCACACCTGCTGATGTCACTGTCCGAGGTCACACCTGCTGATGTCACTGTCCGAGGTCACACCCGCTGATGTCACTGTAAGAGGTCAGAGGTCACACCTGCTGATGTCACTGTCCGAGGTCAGACCCTCTGATGTCACTGTAAGAGGTCAGACCTGCTGATGTCACTGTCAGAGGTCACACCTGCTGATGTCACTGTCAGAGGTCACACCTGCTGATGTCACTGTCAGAGGTCACACCTGCTGATGTCACTGTCAGAGGTCAGAGGTCAGACCTGCTGATGTCACTGAAAGAGGTCAGAGGTCAGACCTGCTGATGTCACTGTCAGAGGTCACACCTGCTGATGTCACTGTCCGAGGTCACACCCGCTGATGTCACTGTAAGAGGTCAGAGGTCACACCTGCTGATGTCACTGTCCGAGGTCAGAGGTCACACCTGCTGATGTCACTGTCCGAGGTCAGACCCGCTGATGTCACTCTCAGAGGTCAGACATGCTGATGTCACTGTCAGAGGTCACACCTGCTGATGTCACTGTCAGAGGTCACACCTGCTGATGTCACTATCAGAGGTCACACCTGCTGATGTCACTGTAAGAGGTCAGAGGTCACACCTGATGATGTCACTATCAGAGGTCACACCTGCTTATGTCACTGTCAGAGGTCACACCTGCTGATGTCACTGTCCGAGGTCAGACCCGCTGATGTCACTGTCAGAGGTCATACCTGCTGATGTCACTGTAAGAGGTCAGAGGTCACACCTGCTGATGTCACTGTCAGAGGTCAGACCCGCTGATGTCACTGTCAGAGGTCACACCTGCTGATGTCACTGTCAGAGGTCACACCTGCTGATGTCACTGTAAGAGGTCAGAGGTCACACCTGCTGATGTCACTGTCAGAGGTCAGACCCGCTGATGTCACTGTCAGAGGTCACACCTGCTGATGTCACTGTAAGAGGTCAGAGGTCACACCTGCTGATGTCACTGTCCGAGGTCAGACCCGCTGATGTCACTGTCCGAGGTCAGACCCGCTGATGTCACTGTCAGAGGTCACACCTGCTGATGTCACTGTCAGAGGTCATACCTGCTACTGTCAGAGGTCAGAGCTGCTGATGTCACGGTCAGAGGTCAGACCTGCTGATGTCACGGTCAGAGGTCACACCTGCTGATGTCACGGTCAGAGGTCACACCTGCTGATGTCACGGTCAGAGGTCACACCTGCTGATGTCACTGTAAGAGGTCAGAGGTCACACCTGATGATGTCACTATCAGAGGTCACACCTGCTGATGTCACTGTCAGAGGTCACACCTGCTGATGTCACTGTCAGAGGTCACACCTGCTGATGTCACTGTCAGAGGTCAGACCCGCTGATGTCACTGTCCGAGGTCACACCTGCTGATGTCACTGTAAGAGGTCAGAGGTCACACCTGATGATGTCACTATCAGAGGTCACACCTGCTGATGTCACTGTCAGAGGTCACACCTGCTGATGTCACTGTCAGAGGTCACACCTGCTGATGTCACTGTCAGAGGTCAGACCCGCTGATGTCACTGTCAGAGGTCAGACCTGCTGATGTCACGGTCAGGCTTCATTTCATTTTATTCCTGCAAAACCTTACATGCGTTTCCTCCCCTGCATCTTGTGTGTGTGTGTGTGAGAGAGTGTGTGTGTGTGTGTGTGTGTGTGTGTGACCTTTGACCTGGGCATGTTAAGGGCTGTGGCGGTACCTCGGGTCGTGGTGTGTGTGTGACTTTTGACCTTGGCGTGTTCAGGGCTGTGGCGGTACCTTGGGTCGTGGTGTGTGTGACCTTTGACCTGGGTGTGTTCAGGGCTGTGGCCGTACCTTGGGTCGTGGTGTGTGTGACCTTTGACCTGGGCGTGTTCAGGGCTGTGGCCGTACCTTGGGTCGTGGTGTGTGTGACCTTTGACCTGGGCGTGTTCAGGGCTGTGGCCGTACCTCGGCTTGTGGTGTCGGTGTGTGACCTTTGACCTGGACATGGTCAGGGCTGTG